CCAGGGCCCATCGGGGGGTTGGGGCTCTGTACCCTGTCATGCACAGAGCAGGGCCCATCGGGGGGTTGGGGTGCCACCCTCTATCACCCACAGAGCAGGGCCGATCAGGGTGTTGGGGCGCCACCACTGTCACACTCAGGGCAGAGCTGATGGGGAGGTTATGGCTCTACCACGTCACACACAGAGCAGGGCCCGTTGGGGGTGGGGGGGTAGGGGCACCGCACCCTGTCACACACAGAGCCACAGGGCGATCAGGGGGTTTGGCCACTGCCCCGTCATGCTGATCCCAGTGCCGGGAGGCCTGCGGCTCCGCTGATCCCGGTGCTGGGAAGCATATTACCCTCTTACTATATAGGGTATATGGGTGCCTGGTGCATGGGTGGGTGTCGGCTGGTTTACCCTGAAGGGTGTCCCGGATCAGGATGGGGGTCCCCCACTGGGGTGCCTGGCCAGCCTGGGTGAGGGGATGATGGCTGTTTGCAGCTGGTCACATATCCTTCAGGGTGGGGGTCCCCACTGGGGTGCCTGGCCAGCATGGGTGAGGAGCTGAGGGCTGTTTTCAGGCTGGGGGTGACTGAAGCTCCCAACTGCTCCTTTTTTTTATTCTGGGCCAGCTTTAGCTTTGAGGCTTGGCTCCAGCTCTTAGGCTTCCGCTGCGGAAAGTAGGTTTCTGGCCTTTGCTTACAATGTTGCGATCCCAGCTGGCTGAAGCCCAGCAGGTTTCTGGGGTTTTGTTTAGCTTCTATGTTTGTTACATAGTTACTTGCAGCTCAGAGGCCTGCAGCGGCAGGCGGGGAACGTTGGAGTCCTCCGTCACTGAAGCAAGCAAGCCTCATGTCAGTTTCAAGCTGCCTAGCTGCCGGCCGCCATCTTGGCTGACAGTTAATTTGCATATCTCCCTGATTAGCCAATGGGAGGGGTAGTGGTCGTACGCCAATTACCATGTTTCTCTTTTATTAGATAGGATGGTAGAAGTATAAACTCATACAGAAAAAAACAATGATCTCACAGTCTCTATTTATACCAATGTCAAATTATGAAAAATACATTGAGAAATATTAAAGTTAAATAGATGTAAGAAATAAGAAAATTTAGGACTAAACAACTCTACAAAATTTCATGTTAACCATGAAACACTATAACTCACATTATCCATCTGTTTCCAGCACATGTCAAGATACTGTTGAGCTTTTCGTCCCTCTTGGAGATGCTGAAGATCATAATAACCAAAAACACAAAACAAACAAAACTTACATTTAAATAAAGTCTAAAGTCTTAAAAAGGCTTTTCACTTTATTTTTGCAAGATTCTAATTATATAACTTTATCAAAATTTAGTAAGAAATTTTAGTAAAGCAAAACTCTCTAAACTACATTTTATAGAAAAATATTTGAATATTTTAAATATAACTTGACACATGTAATCTCTAAGAAAATACATGACTTTCTTGAGTGGGGGCTGACAAATGTTTTGTATAAAGGGTCATATAAATATTTTAGGCTTTGCAAGCCATGTGGTCTCTGTTGCAACTCTGTAATGTAATGCAAAAGCAGCCAAAGGCAAAACATAAGTAAATGAGTGTGAGTCTGTTCCAAAAAAACGTTATCTATTAGGCACTGAAATTTTAATTTCATGTAATTTTCACATCATAAAATATTATTCTTTTGATTTTCTTTTCAATTATCTAAAAATGTAAAAATCTGCTCAGCCTGCATGACTCAGTAGTTGAGGGTCGACCTATGAACCAGGAGGTCACAGTTCAATTCCCAGTCAGGGAATATGCCTGGGTTGTGGGCTCATTACCAATGTGGGGCCTGCAGAAAGCAGCCAATCAATGATTCTCTCTCATCATTGATTTTTCTATCTCCCTCTCCCTTCCTCTCTGAAATCAATAAAAATATATTAAAAATAAATATAAATATAAAAAACAGTCTTAGCACATGAGAACTAGGAACAAAATCATGTAGTAGACTAGATTTAGTTTATATAGTTTACCAAACCTTCATCCTGAATCCAAAAGGATCACTAATTAGCAAGATAATCGTGAGATAATTTTAACTAGAAGCAATACAGTGAAATAGAAAACTAGTTTATACAGAATATATATTATTTTAAAGAACAAAGTTATTATTTTATTTGAGTGAAAATATTTCAGATATATGATAGCTGGATAAAAACAATAATTACCATTTTTCTTTCAGTTTTCAGATCATGAGCATATCTCATTAATTCACCATAAACTCTGTGTGCCATTTCTTCTGCTACTACTTCTCGCTGTCCTGCATAGTCGTTTAACTCGTTAAGGATGTTAAAAAAGGCTACACATGAAGTAAACCTGACAAAAACATATTTAAAAATGATGAAATTTATTTTTATTTTCATTACAAATATTTTTGTGAGGAATGCATTGAGCCTGACACTTGACAAATTTTAATTACCTAAATCTTAGCTACTAGCTCTAAATTAACTTTGTATGGAAATAATCCTGCATTAAGTTCAAGCTATACATGTATATATATCTTCATGTAGTCTTAATTTATAAATAAAGGGATATTTGGGGTAAAAAAATATGACTACTTCCTGCAGGTTCTTTGGCATACTGAAATCTCTTAAGTTGCCAATTGACTGGCCTGAGCTTGGGAATGAACTTGGTTAGATTCCTAGGCTTGGGAGCTAAACCTGTTGCAGAGATGATGGGCTTGCTCTCAAGGACAGAATCTGCCAATCATACCCCTTAAATGCATCTCAAGGGCTGATCCACAAAACAACGTTACTATCAGTTCTGGACAACAGCTGCCTGTATAACTGCCCATATCCTAAATGGACATGAAGTACCATATGTTGGCATCAAAGGAGGGGTGGTAGGTAAGAAGGGACCACAAAAGGCGGGGGGGGAGAATGAGTGTGAAGGGACAGAGAAAAATAAAGAGAATCACTGTATTAAAACATAGACCTACGTTGAATAAACACACAGCTGAAGGTGAATGTTCAGACTGCATTAACATTATACCTGAGAATCCTAACAACTCACAATTATACATAAAGTTGTGTAAGTCTAGTCTCTTTTGTTTCTGCATTTTACAGCCATCCACATATTCCTGTTTAAGACTGTCAAAAGCTCACAGCCAATTCCTAATCTTTTACATATTCAAGGTTCCAAAATTACTGTCCTTTTCATTATCCCTTTAAACCAGCCAGCCAAATTGTTTTATTATTTGTAAGAGTAAAAGCGAGAAGCTAGTAACTAACTGACAACTATAAGATAAATATGGAAAAAATACTCTTTTCTTCTAGAGACTAAATTACTCAAGTGGGGTCTTAGTCTACATCTTACTTGGAAACCCACACATCAACTATTCTAGATAACTATTATCAAGTCTCAGTATTAAAGTATTCATTCTTACAGAAATAACAGTAGTTCCCCTTCATAAACATTTGATTTTTTAAGACAAACTTTATAAAATCTTTATGAAAAGCTAACAGCATGCTTACTTTACAAAAAAAAGTTTTTAAAATTTTTAATATGCAATAATAAACAGGTATATAATTTACCTTGGTTCTTCATCTTTGGAGGAACGTTTGGGACAGTACTTCTTAACCAAATTTCTATAGGAAAAAGATTTTTAAAAAATTTATAAGACATATTGTTGAAATTGAAATATTCTAAAGGTTTCTAATTTTATTAAATAATTTAATGATATAAAACAATTAAGAGCAACATGGTATCTACTATCATTAACATATAATCATTGCTTATATTTTTAAAAAATACACCTGTAGAAAGAAATGTTATATCTGTGTTTATATAAGTACTAGAGGCCCGGTGCACAATAATATGTGCACTCGGGGGGGAGGGAAGGTCCCTCAGCCCGGCATGTGCCCTCTGGCAGTCTGGGACCCCTCGGGAGAAAACGACCTGCTAGCTTAGGCCTGCTCCCGGGTGGCAAAGGGCAGGCCCAATCCTTAGGTGCAGCCCCTGGTCAGGCTCAGGGTAGGACCGATTGGGGGGTTGGGGCACCGCCCCCTGTCACACACAGAGCAGGGCGGATCAGGGGGTTGGGGCGCCGCACCCAATCACACTCAAGGCAGGGCCAATGGGGAGGTTATGGCTCTACCCCGTCACACACAGAGCAGGGCCCGTGGGGGGCGTTTGGGGCGCCGCCCTCTATCACCCACAGAGCAGGGCCAATCAGGGCGTTTGGGCGCTGCCCCCTGTCACACTGATCCCGGTGCCAGAAGGCCTCTCGGCTCCGTTGATCCCAGTGCTGGGAGGCATATTACCCTTTTACTATATAGGATAGAAGCCTGGTGCACGGGTGGGGGCCGGCTGGTTTGCCCTGAAGGGTGTCCTGGATCAGGGTGGGGGTCCCGCTTGGGTGCCTGGCCAGCCTGGGTGAGAGGCTGAGGGCTGTTTTCAGGCTGGCGGGTGACTGAAGCTCCCAACTGCTCCTCTTTTTCTTTTATTTTATTCTGGGCCAGCTTTAGCTCTGAGGCTCGGCTGCTGAAAGCAGATATCTGGTTTGTTTGGGTTCTATAATCGAAACACTGTTTCAACTCCAGCTCTGAGATCCCAGCTGGCTGAAAGCAGGTTTCTGGGGTTTTGTTTAGCTTCTGTATTTGTAACAATGTTTCAAACTGCAAGCTCAGAGACCCGCAGCGGCAGGCGGGGAACGTTGGAGTCCTCCGTCACTGGAGCAAGCAAGCCTCATTCATGTTCACTTTAAGCTGCCTGGCTGCCGGCCCCCATCTTGGCTGGAAGTTAATTTGCACATCACCCTGATGAGCCAATGGGAAGGGTAGCGGACATACGGCGAATTTCCATGTTTCTCTTTTATTAGATAGGATAATTGTAACAAGTTGGTTGATTATGCAATCAAATAAAAAAAGAGCCCTGGCCAGGGTGGTTCAGTTGGTTGGCATCCTCCCTGGGACTGAAAGACTATCTGTTCGATTCCCAGTCAAGGCACATGCTTGGGTTGCAGGCTCAATCCCAGGTAGGGAGCATGCAGGAGGTGGCCGACGGATGTCTCTCTCTTTCTCTCTCCCTTCCTCTCTCTTAAAAAAAATCAACAAAAATATTTTTTTTAAATAAAAGAAATAAAAAAGAAGTACTCCCCCACCTCCTTAGGAGGGAAATACACTTGCACTGCAGGCAGAAGGGGGAGAAAATGGGGGGAAAAGAGAGAAAGGGGAAAAAATTGCCCCTGCCTTCCTAACATAGTTTTCCAGAACTGTACATATACAGCATATTCAAGTGACTATAACCCTCATATTCACAAAATTTGGCAATCATCCTACCCTTTATCAAGTTTCTCCCACTGTAAGGTGTTTAAGTCCTATAGATTCTATTTACTGACTTTTACTTAACTTTTTGTGATAATTTTTATAATGAAAGGGGGAATATATTACACAAGAAGGAGCCTTTCTTCACACTATTTTTTAAAACATATTTTTATTCATTTCAGAGAAAAAGGGAGAAAGGGAGGGAGGGAGGGAGGGAAAGAAGGAGAGAGAGGGAGAGGGAGAGGGAGAGGGAGAGAGCAAGAGAGAGAGAGAGAGAGAGAGAGAGAGAGAGAGACACAATAGTGCTCAGTGAGAGAAAATTATCTATTGTCTGCCTCCTGCATGCCTCCTACTGGGGATCAAGCCTGCAACCCAGGAATGTGCCCCTGACTAGAACTGAACCCAGGACCCTTCAGTCCGCAGGCCGATGCTCTATCCACTGAGCTAAACCAGCCAGGGCTTCTTCACACTTCTTTAATGCATTGGATACAGATATGTGAGGACAGGATGACTGAAGCTAATGCAACATCTTCCAATCATGAGTGGGAAGACCAAGAAATTCACAAGAATGCCCTGATAATCACTAAGCTTTAGAATCCCATTTCCAAACTTCTTTTTGTATGACTCTTATTTGAAGCTGAACGCTCCTATAGAAAAGCTAAGTAAAAACATACAATTAAAAAATGTAGCAAAAACTGGAACTCTAAAAGAAACTTCTTGGATCAAGATACAAATGTGAGTCAGCATGTGTGAGGACAATAAAAAATAAAAATAAAAAATTTTAAAAGCCCAGCTGGCATGGCTAAGTGGTTGAATATCGACCTATGAACCAGGAGGTCAGGTTCAATTCCAGGTTTCAGGCTTGATCACCAGTAGGAGGTCATGCAGGAGGCAGCCAATCAATGACTCTCTCTCATCACTAATGTTTCTATCTCTCTCTCCCTCTCCCTTCCTCTCTGAAATCAATACAAATATATTTTTTGAAAAAGCTACTGTTGACCCTGAGAATGAATATACCTGTTAAGAAGGACTTTTTGAACTCAAATTTAAAAATGGATCCTAGCAGCCATTTCTAAACAGAGGCCTCTCATACAAGGTGTGTTTCTGGGAAAAACCTGCCCCGAGTTCTTGCTAGCTGAACCAACCCTTATTATAAAGGAGTTCCTAGAATCGTACTTCAACCAATAAGACTGAGATTTTCCCCATCCAATCGGAGCTGTACGTCTTCACAGACCAATCAGAATAGTGCTTTCTGGACCAAAATGTGAGGATTTGGAGTCCTCATTTGCATGATAACAAACCAATCAGGGACCAGGGACCAGGACTATAGAAGTCAATCCCAAAATTTGTGTTGTAATTCCAGGGTAGACATGTTCTCTTTCTGCTGAAGTTAAAATGATAAGTATAATCCTAGAGTCACCATGTGGGAAAAGCCTACTTGGAAATTTAATCAACAGAGAGGAAAGCAAAAACAAAAGGAGAAAAATTAACACTTTCTGAAAACTAAGGTACCTGAATTTTACAGTCACACAAGCCAATGAATTTCTTTCTCTGCTTAAACTAATCTGAGCTGAGATTCTGACACTGGAAAAAATCATGACTACCATAGTCATAGGTTAACCGAAAGTCTTAACATATCTTAGCTACAGCATAAACAACACTAATGGGAACTCTAGCTTCTGATGAGGAAGAGCACAAGAATCACAGGAGGGAGAGAAAGGAAAAGAAAGTAAATTTACCTTTACCTTTTGGCCATGCAGTAGTTCTCAACAATTTTTTTAAAATTATTCTTGCCTTTCTTTATGTAAAAGTCACCCATCTATTAGCAACTCTCCCCAAACCCCAAGTCTCCAGAGCCTTCAAAAACAATACACAAGCCACTAAAGAATCCATCCAAGCCAATCCTGCCAACAGAAAACAATAGCATGTTCCAAAATGTTCCTCTCGTATTCCACCAAGTCAAAATTTATATCCTAGGAAAACATGTTCTGAAAGAAGACACAACAAATTATTTCGTACTCATTTCTAGGGAGAGAATCTGGGAAGGGACTTGAAACTAAATGTGTTACAATGACCACATACTGTTTGTGTAGTATGTTTTTTTTATTATAAAATTGTACAAAAAAAATTTATCTCTCAAAGCAGCTGATCTCAGTTGGGCCTTCTAAGAAAAGTCGAAAGTCATCAAAAATTCCTATCAAGGTTTGAATGGTTAATAATGCCCACACATCCCTGCTTTGCAATTTTAACATAATATGCTTATTAGGTCAAATAAATCTCAGATGATTTGCCTTAAATACAGGGTGGGGCAAAAGTAGGTCTACAGTGTTCATATGGCAAATAATACAACAATTAATAAATAATAACACAGAATAAACTGTGTTTCATGTACTCACAATTGTATACCTACTTTTGCCCCACACCCTTATGCAAGTGTGAAGCATTTGGGTTGCTCCTGAAATAAAAATATGTTAGACAATTCATCTCTCTGTCCCATAGTAGCAGTTTCCCTAGGCTATTTTTTCCCCCAGAAACTTTTCCTCTGTTCTATGCCCAGAGATTCTCCAAGTAACCAATTATAATAGCAGTTTATATATAAGGAATGCTTTTTTAACAGGGTGTTATAAATCAGGAATTAATTGAAACAAAGTTTTATATGCATACAATACATATTATAGAAATTATAATAGATGTCATAGATATGCTGGTACTTTTGATGTGTTTCATCCATGTTTTCTAAGTACCTTAGGATCATGCACTCTGGATACAGAGAATTAACATTGTTTCTTCAGTGGTCTGAGAAGGTTCCTAAATGTAATGAGCTTCTCCAAAGATTACAGTGTTATTTATATATACACCAGTATAGGATATCTCAAAAAAAATTTAAAGGCTGAAAATCATCTCTATAGAGTTTCAACCTATCAACAGTTGAGGCACTCTGAGTTTTAATTACTATTTAACAGGTGATCAATATCATATTTATTTGTAAAACGGGATACAAGTTACATTATCTATATCTTCTAGCAGAAGGGTAATATTAGATACACGAGACTAGCTATTACCTCATTTCTAAAGCTCTCCCTATATCTAACAGTTATCAGGCTTAGGAATTGCCAGGCCCTATTTGTGGGCCTCAGTTAAGTGATCCAGAGATAGAAAACTGAATCTAGCTGGGCCAAAAGTTCTCTTCCTGGAGTTTTTAAGTCTTTGGACTCAATTCAGCTTTGAGGCCAGTAAGAGAGCTGAATCTGAGACATAAATCTGGCACTGTTGGTGACTACATTTTCTGCCAAATGAAGAAAGCCAGCCTCTACTGAAAGAAT